CTTGACAACATAAACATGACATTAAAGACACATGTTCATTTTATGTATTTATTATTCATTCATTTATTTATTGAATGAATAAATGTTAAATTTATTCTTTTCGGGTTTGAGCAACAATCCACTAATAAAGTTAGGAAGATTTTTGCCATCCAGTTACGTAATATAAAGTGGCAAACCTACAAAAAGGCATTTTTTTAGCTGCCCTGAAAGATCCTTCAATTCTGGGATTTTTTGCCACATACTAATGAAAATAATCAACAACTGAATACCAGAACCTGCTGAAGGAAAATACCTCGAAATACCTAAATTGCACTGTACTATTTTGGTTGCAGAAATTTGGAATCTTGTTTTTCTGTTTTTGTTGTGCAAAAAACTGTAGGCGAGTCGACAAAAGAGAAACGACTTGATATTACCTTATGATTACTTTATGTAATTAAAATAGCAATGTTTAAACCCAGTGCTTTAGTTTCTTATGGAAGCACTTTCATGACTGTTAAGTCCATTTCATGCTTTCATTACAGAATTCATAATTGCTCATCTAAAATAAATGCTCTGTTCCGCTGTATAGGAAAAGGATACCCATTTTGTTGATGCACTGCTTTATTCTGAAGCACCCAACCTCCGAATACAACAAACCCCTTACTTTTAAACAGAAAAGGTAAGCTGCCACTAAGATGGATGGTGCAAGAGGTCACTTTTGAGTCTAATGCCTCTCTTATCATTGGCAGTCACAGTGTGGGAAGTTGTGTCTGAACATCTTTCTTTTCAGGAGAAGGTAATTTCTCAGGGTGACACTTTTCCTCCAATGTCTATTAAGACTGACAAGCCACTTTTAGTGAAGACTCAGAGATGGGTGCTGGAGTTTATTGAACCTGAAGAGCACTCTGCATGTGTTGCTGCCTCTGTCGTGAAATAAAGGAGAAAAGGACCAAATTGCAGACTGCTGAGACAGACTTGGAATAAAAAAAAGCAAGCCTTTATTGTCGCTGTTGTAGATCCAGAGCATAAAATAGGAAAGGGCAAAAGCAAAAGAGACCACTGCAGGGGAAACATGCCAGGAGAAACCAAGGCTGGAACACAGTATGATGAGCAACCTGTGGCTTCAAATACACTGTTTTTTTCTGTGTTGATGGTCATACCAACTCTTTAAAGTATAGAATTATGGGAAAAACCGACCATAAGCACAATATGAATGTATAGTGAGGCAACATTACTGCAGATTTTTAAACAGGCTAGTCTTGATTTTATTTACTTTAGAGTACTGGTTCTCAATGGGAAGCAGGGAAGAATGGCTGCAGAAAAATATTAAGCTTTTCCTCCTTCAAATGATAAGCACATGGAGGACAGGAATCAGCTCTCTCTAAACAGCTCCCACAAAGCTACAGGAAACCAAAAAGAAAAATGTTGGGGAAAACATCCAGCAGATTGACTGACTGACTGACTGACTGACTAACTAACAGCGAGCGAGTGACCAAATCATAGGTCTGACCTTACTTGGAAAACCACAAAGTATCATGTGAATCAGGTGAAAGGTTGTAGGTTTGTCTACATCTATAACAATACATTTCTATAAGGTAAGTTTATTTATAAACCTTATCAAGAACAACATTCACACATTGTTTTTACAAATAAGATAAGGTACCAAAAGTGTCCACAAAGTGGACAAAGTGTCCTTTGGTCCTCAACCTGGACCGAGGTACCACCAGGAGCCCATCTCAGCTACCGTGGGGTGGGGTACACCCTGGGCAGATCGCCAGCATGGCTCAGCGCTAACACAGCTAGCACTCACATCCACATCTATGGGCAACCTAACCAATGAGATGTCATTGGAAATAAGAGGAGCTATTTCAGAGCGCATATGACCAGTAGGAGATTTTTGTTTTTGTTTTTTGTTTTTTTGTTAAGAAGGTGAGTAGCAGTCTATTTAAAATATGAAGAGAAGGTCCAGACACTGATCAGCTGCAGTTTGAACTGGTGAACTGGTCATTGTAAGT